AGAGACGATCGTCACTAACATAATCACGCTATCCTCTTCGTATTTCTTGTATATAAAGAACTTACATGAATGTGTGTTGCTTTGTTTTACTATATTCAACGGAAAACCTAATCATATATGTGTAGAAATCTTTCTGCAAACTTTTTCGATATTTTTAAGCTTCGAAAACAGATGTAAAGGTACAGCAATGTTCTTCAAAATTTTTCTGTTTGGAGCATCCACACTTTCAGTATATACAAGCTGCGGAACTTTTGAATTAAGCAAATATTACGCTAACTGACAGCTTAAGATTTTACATAAAAATTTTTTTGTTCGTTTTTGTCACATATCGAGCAATGCTCCTATTTATTTTTGCTTCCATTGCGTAAAAGCATTTGTAATTCTGTGTAACCAATACGACGTAAACTTTGCAGAAAAATGTCAGTGTTCTGTCGGTAAAGTTTTCAGCATTCTTTTAAAGAATTATGGATATCCAAACTCACCGACCGTTTTCGCAAGCGTCGACCTACTCATTCGGGCGATGATGACTAACTGAACATTCAATCCGCGGCCTTTGTTACCAAGCAACGGATTAAGTCGTGTTGTTGTTTCTTTTGATTCGCGCGAACTGCCTTCCCGTATCACGAGTTGTCAGTTTCCAACGAACAAATCAAAACAAAGGAGAAGGAAACGAAAAAGTTTTATTCTCTTTTTTTTCAATCTTACACTATGTATCGAAATAAATGGCCACCACTTCGAATAATTACTGTAAATATTTTACTGTAAAAACCGCTCTAGTAATAAAACGGTTTGTTTGCGGTTTATTAAGATAATTGACTTGTTTTAGTGTTTTTTATAACCAGCTGAAGTTTATCGGTCTAATTTTAGGATGACTATTATTCCAATGTAAAAAAACTTCGCAAAAAGTGATATTATTCAAGTGAAATAAAACATTTACCGTCATATATTAGGAAACGTGAAATAGAAAGAAGAATATTGTTCGCTGCACCTTTTTAGTGTAATAATCGATTATAGATAAGGAAACAAATGTTTTATGCATGGAGTAGCATTGTACTGAATGAAATATGGCAAGGCGATATCATGAAGTTAGTTTCAAATTAACATGTATTATTTAAGTAGCGAAATAAATACATAAAAACGTAATTTTGCTCGGTAAATAGTGAATTTATGAGCGGCTTCCTCGATGTTCTACGGAAAATACGTCCCTTGGGTGCCTTGAAAATACATACCTGATGAACAAATTTCTTAAGCCGAGTAGAAAATCGAGCAAACGCGGGGAACAGTTTCTCGCCGCAACACTCGATTCGATAGACGCGCGATTTCTGCGCCGCTTGTTTTCTCACGTGCTACTTTTAATTTCCGCTTATTATCGTGCCGAGACGATAAGCAGCGGTAAGAAAAACTATCGTCTCGATATTCGGTGGAGGAGGAGCGAGGGAGGCAAACGCGCTCGCGCGGACGATCGAGGGAGCAAGTATTAAGTGAGGTGGATGGGCGAAAATAACAAAATAACAAAATATACATCCTGCTTCATGAGATTAAATAAAGGAATGGAAAATTCGTTAAAGTTTCCGCTCGCTGCAAACACAATTCAGCGTTGAAATCTATTTTACTTCCACCCGACTGCAATTAAAGTCGTTTTAAAGTGTTAGCTCTCAACTTGCGAATCGAGTATAATTTACGTGAGTTTTATCTCTAGTGAGACACGCCCTCGCAAAAAATACTATTTCGCAATTAACGAGCTCCTTGCCTTTTTCCGACCGTTCTCTCTCTCTCTCCCTCTCCCTTTCTTCTTCTCTTTCTCTCTCTCTCCCCCTCTCTCTTTCTTTTTTCTTCGTTTTCGCTCTTCTCCACAAAATTATTACGCAATTTAGACGATCGTCAAACGGCTTTCAGCGGTTTATGCAGAACGGTTTAACTGTTTTTGCGGATTATTCGAATTGGCATTTACATAGCACTTTGCATCTACATCGTTTCGCACTCTTTCGGGGGATCTATACTCTCACGATATATATCGGTCGCGTTAACTGATTATAAATGATACACGCGACACAGGATTTATCTCTCCGCGCGCGTTTGTTACGTTACTCTCATCTCACCACGGCTCGAAAAACTTGCTCTACATAAAAATTCGGATCGTGTGATCCCGTGTGTTGATCTGTCCGTCGACAGAGACGCTTTTTTTCATCCATATATCCACAACAACGCTCTCTTCGTCGTTTGTCCGTTCGCTCGCCGAGTGGACCGAGTGTTTACGCGAAATCGAGCGGCATTGCTAATCGATACGACAGTTTGACATTTTCTCTTCCAGAACGGAATCCGGAACTAGTCGCCACGAGCTGGTGCGACACGCGTTATACAAAGTAAAGTCCACGTATATTCCAGCCAGTTAAGCATATCACGTACGTGTAACATTCGTGGTATGAACGAAAAGGTAAACTCTTATACTAATTAGAAATTAATTTGGGAATTCTGGACACACTACGACGGGACCAAAACCTGTGTTAACCTCCTCATGGACAAATTTATCACATCCATATGACATTCGTTAACGTCATAGGACGAGATTTCTCCTTTCCTTGTGGAGTATTGAATATGTATTCACAGTACTGTTTGTTGCACTTTTATCGGAAATATTTATCCCTTTTAACCATAGTGGGCCCTTCTTTTCATTTTTCGTTATTTTAATTAACTTAAGCGCTCGTAACAGCGATTGTATGAATGATTTCGTACATGCTAACATTTATGAAATTGTACACAGAGTCGTGCATGATTTCGTTGTAAAAGCTTCATTTTCTCGTAGCTGCTTTCATGCATGCACCACTCAGCGATCAATTTTCACATATCGGAGCCGATGATATGCTGCAGAATCATCAGTGAATGTAAATATTACATATATCGTGTCACCTCCAACGTATTAGTTCACAAATTGACATTAAAATAATAATAACAGAGAGCAAATAGCAAGTTACCGTGTTAATTGAAGCGTATAAAAAAGAAAACGTAGACACTAGAGATGTGCGAATCAAAGATTTTCTTATGTCGAATCGAATCAAATGTCAGATTTTAATTTTGAATTTAAATCGAATCGATGAAAGAATTTTTAGTTAACATAATCATTGAATTTAACATGAAAATAATGACTTTAGTATGAGAGACATAATATTGCACTGAGGGAAATGTCTGATAATACTAACCAGAATTCTATTTAGGTTTACCAAACAGTATGGTGAATAATCGTATAACAAAATATTTAGTTAATGATACCAAACTATCTGGTGAACGCATTGTCTAAGTAGCATTACAGTAACCTTTAAATATGTTTACCAAACTGTTTCGTACAGCATACAATTCATTTGGTGAATGTTATGAATACAGTTGTGGAGTAGTGTTAGACTTCTTACCTAACCTAACTATATTAACTAATAACATAATAACTAAATCTAACCATATTATACACTGAGAGAAGAATTTAGTAAATATTATCAAAATTTGGTTACTATTACTAAATGATAGACGTAAATATAGCGGGCCAAAGCTATGGCAATACTTATTAATTAATTTAGTTCTGTAAAATAAATTATTTATTTGACAGAAGTAAAATTTAGTTGCTTCCAGAATATATTTGGTAAATAAAACTTATTGAATAGTTGAGCAAAATAAGCGATTTTGTAATAGTTACAAAATTTTTGATAGGTTCAACCAACTATCTGTAATAATAGATATTGAAACGATGTAATAGCTGCAAATGAATGGATTTTTCGTTGTGCTGCAACAAAACATACTTATACTGGTAACAAAATAGAACTCGTACCTACTGAATTTTTTATTATATGGAATATAACGATTTCATAACAATTATCAAATATCTCATAACTGTAATTCATAACTGTAATATATTTCATATTAAATACTTAACATTAAGTAACTATTACTAAATTATTTAATTGATGTTACTGTGAATGCAATTACATCATACTCCTGATCTATTAAATATTTGGTAATTATTATCATATTTAGTATTAATTACTAAGGATTCAATGAATTTCTGTAACTAAATGCAGTTTGTTATAGTTACCAGTCTTTTCTCTCAGTGTATAATTTTCATATACTTTCTGTATATAATCTTTTCATATATAATGTATATAATCTTTTCATATACTTACTGTATATAATCTTCACATATTTACTTCTAAATTCGTCGATATATTTTAAGAAATTTCTTACTTCCAAATATTTGACAGTTTCAGCGTTTACTCTTTTATAGCACCGACATCTTTACAAATTAGTATAGATGAAAAAGGAAATGTCGCAGCGAGTTAACTATCGCGTCAATAGTATCATACGTCTAGAGAGAATTACCAAACTGTCTAGATGGCTACAACTAAATGTCTCGGTATTGACTACCAGATGCGTCGAGACATCGTAATCAGAATATTAGATATGTGAACCAGATATCGCGTATAAATTCACCATATTACTTTCATAAGACAAATATAATGTCATTCACCAAGCCATTTCTCTCAATATAATCATGTAACATCAATTCATTTTAAGAGATATATAATATATAGCCGATAAACGTATATGGAATACAATTCCAGCCTTGAAAGCTGCGCAACGACACATATCGATTCGACATTGTCAGTAAGAGTTTATCTAGAAACCATTATCTTTTTTTTAATATTTTTGAAGAAAATCTTAATATATAACAAATTTTTCAAGTCATGCTAATACCCGTAAAGCTAGGTGTCTTAATAGTTCTTCATTAATGCTAATGTGCGCGATCCGTATTCGAATCTTTTCGATTCGAAATTTTCGAATTATTCGGATTCGAATCACAGGGATTCGAATTTGAATCGAATCGAATTTCACTTGATTCGATTCGATTCGAATTCGAATAGTTTGCACATCTCTAGACACTGCTAGCAGTAGTATTGACTGTGTTTAGCAGAAAAAGCTGCTTTGCAACTGTTGTAAAATTTGTGAATCTGATTGGAGTATGCTCTTAATTTTGATTGAATCCAGGAGCATGTACAGATCAGATTCACGAATTTTACAATAGTTGTAAAGCAGCTTTCTCTGCTGAACGCAGTCATTGTAGCTAGACACTGTAAAGCATTGAAATTACGTTAGTTATAACACGACGATGTGACATTTACACTCACAGATGACTTTGGAGCATATTATCGACTCCGACATGAAAATTAATCGGTGATTGGTATATACATGGAAGTGTGAAAAAAAATGAAGCCTTCACAGTCAATGAAATCATATATAGTACCATGCACGGCTTCATGCACAACTTTATAAATGTCAGCATGTACGAAATCATTCACACAATTAGGTGATAAGCACTTTATTGGCAGACATAGTTGATTATATTATTACTATACAATCTCTCTCTTCCTCTCTCTCATAAATATAAGGAATTAAGAAATAAGTAAAACATAAAATAAATAAAACATAAAAAGTAATAAAACAAATAAAACATAAAATAAGTAAAACATAATTAATTGTTAA